AAAACAGACCACAAGCCTCACCGAACATCTCCTTGCTACCGCGATCTTGCCCACAGGAAGCCGCGACCGCGTGGCAGCAGGGCAAATGGAGGCGGATCTGGTTCGGATCTCGCGGCGGAGTTCGCATGTCGAGGTAAATTTTTGGGGCCGGAGCTGGTCATATCTTGAAAAATTCGTAAGAAGGGGCGTTCATAACTAGAGGTACCACTGTACTCATTCCTCAGAAAATAGTAAGGAGAAAAAACACTGTGAAACAGTATAAAATGAAATAGGGGTAGGTGAGAATTTCATTTAGTTATTTTAATAATTTTCATGATGAAGATGAAGGTGATGATGATGATGGAGAAAGCAGAACTGAGACCAAGAAAAGCATTATAAATCCATTTGTATTCTCCAGAGCTATTGGATCAGGGTACCAAAACACTGGATGATGAATACATGAAAAAAATTCAACACTAGTTTTCTGAATGTTTGCACCCCAGATCTGGTACTCTGTGTTCTTTGTATTTGTGTTAAACTGCTTCATTTGTGATACTGTTGCTCAAAATATCAAAATATCATGGTCTGAAATATCTAACCCCAAATGCCATACTATCAGGGTTGTTTGCTACAAATGTTCAGATATTTTAAAAGAAAGTTTAAAATTATTGGATCATGCAAGATCTAGCTAATAATAGAAGAGTAAGTAAAAGATCTTAAAATGCTGTTCATGCTATTGCAACAGTATTTCACTGTCATCTTTGTTAAAAAGATATAGGAAGAGGTTTTGCTTACCTGTGTTTAGCTGTCCAGTTGAGCTTAGAGTGCTACTGAAAAAGGTCCTGATGTTGTACAAGATCTAAAATGTAATAAACAGCATTCAGCTCTCTACTGTATATAATTATGCACCATTCCTAATCATGCCCTTGAAATATAAGCAGGAAATTTGGTTCTATGTGATTTCATTCAGTCTGTTGGGGATATAGTGGCTGCATAACAGGTAAGACAAATCTCTACTGTACTTTGATTATGGGGTTCTTCTGTGACTTCA